CTTCCTTCCTTCCTTCCTTCCCTTCCTTCCTTCCTTCTTGCTTGATTCTTTCTTTCTTTTTCCCTTCCTTACATTTCAAGTCACTGTTTTATTTCTTGGCTTCATCTACTCTGTTGATTCCCTATAAATTATTCTTCATTTCAGTTAGTGTATCCTTCATTTCTTACTGGTCTGTTTGTTTTGGTTGTTTGTTTTTTTATGGTTTCCATGACATTTTTTATGCTGTTAAAGCTCTAAGTTCATTTACTCTTTCCCTAAGTCACTAAAATCCTTATAACCTGTGTTTTGGAAGGCAGCTATGCTCACCACTATACCACCAACGCCGACTATAACCTGTGTTTTGAACTCTGAATCCAATAGATTGCTTGTCTCCATTTTGTTTAGCTCTTTTTCTGGAGTTTTGCTCTGTTCTTTCATTTGGAACACATTTCTTTGTTTCCTAATTTTGGGAGCTTCCCTGCATTTTTTCTATGTATTAGGTAAAGCTGCCACATCTCCTGGGCTTGGTAGAGTGACCCAATGTAGTAAGTCCTGTAGGGGTCCAGTGGCACTGTCTCCAGGTTCACCCAAGCTGGACACTCCAGGTGTGCCCCCTACCCCAACCCCATGTAGGCCATGAATACCCTCCTGTTGTATTTGAGCCTTGATTGTTGTTGGCATGTAAATGGCAATAATTTATCCCAAGGCCTATCAGCTGTAAAAACTGGCTGCGATGCAGGCCCCCACCCCATGGACCAGGACTTACTTCAGTGGAGCTCTGGTGCCCACTGAGTGTCCCCCTTAAGTGTGTTGCTTATGGAGATGGATGGGTGGTGCTTCAACATGGTCTGAAGCTGTCTATCAGGTGTACTGGCTCTGGGGCCTCCAGAACAGTGGTCGCCAACCAGTGGTCCATGAAGTCTGCTACTCTGAGAGATGCAGGCCAACGTCAGCCTGCCTGTATTCTGCCTAGGGTCATCTGGCATAACCTACAAAGCAATCTACAGATGGCTGCTACTTGTGCAGGGCTTGGAGGTGCCTAGGAGAGGCCAAGCTTCAAACCAAGGCCAGTTGCTGCTACTTCCAGGCCTGGAGCCACTTAGCTAATGGTGCAGGGTACATTGAGGCCAGATACTGCTCGTTTGATTTTATGAAAGTCTGAAACATGAGCCAAGAGGCCATTCATATGGAAAAGCCACTGGAAGAAGCATGGGTGGGCCTGCAAGTTGGTGAGGTGGGGTCTCAGGGAATCATGAGGGCAGGCTGACCAGTATAAATCAGGTTGGTGGAGACTCAGGTATGGCACCTGCCTGCTGGCTCTGTGGGGGGATGGCTTAGAAAAGGAACAATGGCCTCTGCCAGCACTTCTGGTGTGGAGAAAGCTTCCCCTCCACTTGCCCTGATGCCAGACAGTTCAGTTCCTCCCCATATGTCCCTGGTGCCTTTCAAGCTGCTGATCCAGCACTGGAACTCAGAAAGAATGAGTTGGAATAAATCTGTGAGGGCCCTTTAACAGGAACTGCCTGGGACTCCAGCAGCTCTCTGTCTCACTCAGCCACAATCCCTGTTGGTTTTATAGCCAGAACTTATGGGGACTCCTCTTTCTGACACAGGAACCCTGGGCAGGGAGGCTAGGTGTCCCTTGCTCTTCAGGGGGGATCACTGCAGTGGAGATATCCCTCCCAATATTTATCCACTTCACGTGGGTGTGGGACCAGCCTGTTCTGCATCTCCACCCCTCCTATCAGTCTCAATGTGGCTTCTTCTTTAAATCCTCAGTTGTAGGACTTCCATTCAGCTAAATTTCAGGTGGTTCTGAATGACAGTTATTCTACAGTTTAGTTGTAATTTTGATATGGTTGTGGGAGGATGTGAGTATCACATTTTCCAAGTGCCTTACTTTACCAACCCTTGTTGGGGAGAGGGAGTTGTATATTTATTTATTTAATTCTCACCCAAGGATATTTTCAATTGAGTTTTAGAGAGAGTGGAAGGGATGGGGAGAGACACACAGAGAGAAACATCAATGTGATAGAGAGAAATAGATTGGTTGCCTCCTGCATGTGCCTGAACCGGGGTCAGGGATCGAGCCTGCAACCGAGGTGTGTGCCCTTGACTGGAATCAAACCTGGAACCCTTCAACCCATGGGCCAACTCTCTATCCACTGTGCCAACCCAGCTAGGGTGAGGGAGTTATTTATGAGGCACCTACAGGATGATACAACATTTAGTGCCAAAAGGGTCATATCAATGAAGCTTTGTTCAAGGACAAATTAGTTGACTTCAATTAGAAGTTTTGTGGGTCTTGAGGTGGCCAGTGGCCCAGAGGCCTCTCCTCCCTCACAACATCTTTTTAGTGGTCGCAGGAGTATAAATAATTCTGCACCTTTCCCAGTTGACTCGCCTCTATGTGCAGCCTGCCTTCCTCCACCATCCCAGCTGCCTTTCAGTCTCCTCTCTAATCTCATTTCTGTTCCCAACCACCACACATTGCTTTATGCTTCTGGCTATTCTTTAAGGCACCATCAGTTAACCAAAAAAACACCAGCTATGACTTGCTTAAGATACAATATCTTTGTACTTATTTTGAAGTTGCTGATAATTTGTACTCAAATTGGACAGTCGTCTTCACTGTCCATCTCACAGTGTAAGTGTATGTAAACTGGGCATCCAGCCTAATGCCTTGCTCACAGGAGGCATTCTGTTTGCTGTACTAAAACTGGCTGGACAGATCTATGCTCTCATCATTCTTCTCTTCCAGGTGAGAATACACAACCACTCAGACCTGTGAACTCTGTATTAGCTATGTACTGACTGTACTTCTGACCTTAGGCATCAAGCACAAGGGACCTCTGCTAGGAATACTAGTGTAAACAACATTCTCAAGTGGCTTCACTACTTACTGCTCAGATGATCTATATTTTATTTAGATGTGTGGATTTATGTATACACATATATGTATATTACATATAGATTATATACATATATGCAAAATTATTTTCAGTAATCATGTAGGTGACAGTTCTGATACTGTTTTCTTAATGTTTTATATATAATGTAGGACAAAAAAAATCAGATATGCATATATATACATGCACATGGGGAGGGGAAGTGGGAGAGGGTAGAGGGAGAGAGAGACAATGAATTTCCTAGCTCTGTCCACTGAAGAGATCTAAAAACAACGAGCAAACCAGTAGCAATAAGTATTCCTACCACCTAGATTGTGGTATTGAAACGCTATTTCCCACTCAAAATTTACTAGAGATATGACCAATTCCAGGTCTGAATTAACTGAGCCTCAAGATTCAAATATCATAGTCAGAAAATATGGAAGATGGGGGCAAGGGGTGTAGAGGATGTTAAATTACATCACAGGAATGCAATCAACAAAATCTCAATGAAAACAGCTACAAGACAAATGATCTGTTTTTTTCAACAAAAATACTAGTATAGCAGTGGAGGTGGGGGAGGAGAATGGGGAAAAACAAAGAGATGGAAAGGAAACCTACAGATTAAAAGAAACCTAAAATACATACCCAAGCAAAGCTAAACTATGTATTTATGGAAGTACATTTGGATGATTAAACTGCAAAAAAAGTAAGGAGGAGATTGCCATAGAATTGATGACAGTGTTATTCTTGGTGGAGGAGAAAGGAGGCGATGGATTGCTTCTGGGGTAGCTAGTATGTTTCTATTGCTTCATAATAATTATTAGGTTATACTTTAGTTTTATGTTGTTTTCTGAGTCTGTGTTATTTTAATAAAAAGTCTACAAAAACAGAATATATATTTGTTACAGAAAACTCAGAAAATAAAGAATAGACATCATTATCAACATTTTGTGAAATACTCTCATCCTATTTTTTACATATGTACTTTATATACACCAATATATACTTGTAATTGGCAATCTACAATTGCCTGGGTCAGACTGTCTTGTCATACCACCTCTGTGCCTCGGCCCTGTAAATTAGACCTTCTCATTTAAGATCTAGACCCACTACTATCAGGTCTAATCAGTGGCCCTGATCCTACCTAAGTCCAGGACAGTCTTCCCACTTTGGCATTGGATTACTCCCACAGGGCCTCCTGGACTCTGGAGAGAAGTACACTCCCTATTCTTCCAGCACTCTAACCACAGATCTTCAATGTCTGTCCAACTCATTTAGTCCTAGATCCACTCCCCATTTCCATCTGGCTACCACTACAACTTAGCACTGAGAGTATGTTCAAATTCAGAAAGACCTGTGCTGGAACCTTTGCTCCCCCTCTTACTGGCTGTGCAACCTTGCAAGGAAATTAACTCTCTGAGCCTCAAATGCCTTATATGTGTAATGTAGGACTACTTTCTAACTTACAAAGATATCACAGGAATTAAATGAAATAACCTATATAAAGTACTTATTACTAGACCTTGCATAGATGTCTATCATACTTCACAATTTCTCTGCCTCTACGGTCAGCTAGCCCAAGTTGGCTGAGAACATTTGAACCTCCCCCTTGACTTTCTGACATTTGTCTGCTCTCTCTCTGACCCATAATGCAAATTACTAGCCTCATGGAAGCCACAACAGAGGTCGTCCAACCCAGTTTAGGTCTGTGCCTCGCTTGCTTGGCTCTGTCCAATTCTTGGGTAATAACAGAATGCTTCACTTGGTTAAGCTTAGAAAAACAAAGAACCAATATAGCTACTAATACAGAATACACTTTATTTTGTTTTTCAATTGTATTTAGAAATAAGCTCAGAAAGTATATTTCCATTTTAGTGGCCTACATGGTAACACCTATCTTTTTAAAAATTTTTTAAAATTGATTTTTAGAGAGAGAGGAAGGGAGAGGGATAGAGAAACATCGATGTGAGAGTGCAACACGGTATCAAGCCCACAATCCAGGCATGTGCCCTGACTGGGAATCGAACCAGCAACCCCTCAGATGCATGGGATGATGCTCAACTAATTCGGCCAGGGCAGGTGACACCTATCTTGGTTTGGATCAATAACAAGAAGCAGTTATACAGCTGAACAGTAGCCATTCTCTATGTGAAAAACATTGTGTGCTTTGGGGGGGATACACAGAAGACAGGTACTTTGCCCTTAGAAGACTTCCCTGACAGAGGTGGATGTGTCAGCACTAATTACAGAATAAGGTAGAATGAACTGTTAAATACTACTTTCAGCTCCACGCTGTGACTAAATTGGAAAATGCAGCCCTGGCCAATGTGGCTCAGTTGGTTGGAGTGCCGTCCCATACACCAAAAGGTGGTAGGTTCCATTCCAGGTCAGGGTAGGTGCCCAGGTTGTGGGATTCAATCTCCAGTTGGGCATATATAGGAGGCAACTTATTGATATTTCTCTCTCATATTGGTTTCTCCTCTCTTTCATCAATAATAAATAAAATAAATAAATGAAATGGAAGATGCAATAAATTTTAATACTAAAAATA